AGATGAGCAGTGTTATGGGACTCTGAGCTCAGACTACAGATAAGAAAAGGAGAGCTTTTCACTCCATGTCTCCCTTACTTCCGTTGGGGAAGAGAGACAATGAATGGCGTTTCGTTAAAGAACAATTTAAAACATTGCTTGCGCTGGCCCTCAAGGGTGCTAGGTGAAACCTGCTTCCTAACCTTTTACCCTGGGCCAGCGGATGAAAGACCTCCTCTGTGCCCCTACCCCGGGGCCTCAGGCTCACTGCCCTCATTCTGACCAAACGCAGCATCTCCCCAGCTTATCACTCACGTGCCAGTATGGTGTCACCCACGGACAAGTAGGAACCTATCCTTTTGACCCAAATAAACATGGAATCATGTGCTCACATAGGTGTAGCCACTCTAGGAACCTAGAATTCGAGCAGCTCCACATCTCCACTTCTTTCTGTTAGAATCATAGATTCCACATTTGGTCAGTGTGTTTTACCAAGGATCAGAGTTAGCATCAAATTTGGAAGCCAAACTTTTGGGCAATACCAGTTCCCACCAGTGCGTACTGTTAAAGAAGCAGGATTTAATAAGACAATTATAATATTTATTTTCCAGTCCACTTATGATTTATCTTTCCTTTCACTCCCGCCCCCAAGTCTTAGTGTGTTAGAACTGAATAGTGGGATGGACAGAAGGACAGATGGCAGGGCTTCTACCCTCCTCCTGTTTGGCCAAAGCAGCTTCACTCTTGTCCATTTCTTCCATTTGAAGAAGGGGTTCTATAGCTTTAAATTGTTTTACAACCACTGCTCTCAAAATTAATGTGTGAGGAAATCAGATTACATGTCTTGCCCAGTGTCATAGAGAAGTTAAAGGCAGAACTGAGCCAAGCAGGTAGGTCTCTTAATTCTCCATCCTGTGTTCCCTGCTGCTCCTTAGGCCAGCCTTGGGAAGGGAGTAAATACAAATTCCTCTTCAGATCGAGAGTCTGAGAGTAATTTCCCCTAGAACCACTTGAATGTTAGTAGTTTCAAGTTTGTAGTGACAGTTTAGTACATGAGTATGTGCACACATAGCACTAGAAGGTGCATAATAAGTAATACTGAATAAGTATAAGAAAATAACTATAAGTGAATAAATGATGACTATTTACTATATGCATTTCCCTAGTAAAACTGATCCTCAGCTGCACTTGGCAAACCACTTATTTTGGGTTCCTGATGTCACATATTGGCCTTCATTCAATTTACAAGCAATACTTAGAATTCTTTAGCTTGAATGTGCTATTCTCTATCTGTGACCTATAATTTAGCATTCTTAATGATTTTAGCAGGTCACAGTCTGTTAAGAATTTGATAAAAAATATGAAACCTCTTTCCACACAGATGCATTTCTGTACTCATCCATACAGAATTTTACTTACAAGATTAGGAGGTTCACGGACCCGAGCCTGTTTCTCTTTAGTGTTTTATGGATTCTAGGTTAAGAACCCATGAGGACAATACTATGATTAATCCACAATTGGTGCTGACTAGAAAACCCCTAAGATTTTGCACCCCTCTTTTCTGTCCATAGTCTGAGCTCAGTGATGGCATTGCTGTCCTTGTGGGAAGCAATGATCGAGTCCAGGGAGTGATCAGCCAGCTGGAGGACACCTGTAAAACCATTGAGGTAAGTAAAACTCTATAGGAGTGTAAACCAAGCCTGAAACTCCTGGGGTGTGGCCTCCTCAACACCACACTAGAAATCCCCATTTCAACATTTCAATCTCTCCTCATAGAATGACCTCCTTCTTGGTGTGTCTCTAAAATATTCACCTCCTGGTATAGGACAAGAAGTTACCACACGAGTCAACAAGGCAGATTTTCCATATTTACTAGGGTTTTGTTACATGAGTTGTCCTTTCTCAGTCAACCCATTTTGAAAGATTAAATACAAGAAAAATATTTCCCAGTAATGAAAATGAATGTTGTCAGCCTTTATAGCACAACTTCTTTGTGGAAATCCGAATGGTCTTAAGAAATGCTAGTTGGTGCATTAGGAATTCACGTGCAGGTGTGAGCTGCATATCTGTGCTCTGACGGCAGGGCTGCAAAAGGCCAGAGGGAGACAGCGATCTGCCTGCCCGTGCTTAGAGAATATGTCAGTAACTGGGAGCTCATGGAGGCCTGAGTTCTGGTTTGTTCAACTCAGTTTGCCCTCTGCCTGGCCCAATACCTGACACATAATAAATGCTCGATGAAAACTTTATGAACAAATGGATGAATGGCTAGCTATTTAGCTCACACTTAGGTTTGGCATGTAAAAAACATAGGGAATCCACTTTTTCTCAAGATCAAGCATAAACTGTATAATTGCTGAAGGCAAAATGCTGGAACCTAAAAAGGTTTAGCTCTATAGCAGGTATCTTTTCAAGACTTGAAGATTCACAGACTAGTTAAGCCATGCTGCAAAGAGGCAGGTGTAAGACACCTGGGTCTCTGGCCCTGTGCTCTGGAGCCATTATTCCTCCCTCCCTGCTCAAAGTTTGGGGGTAATTTATTTTTTAATTGAACTTCAGGTGCAGAGAGTTGAGGCACTGTACTGCTCAGTTCATGGCTTATTGTCTTCATATCTGTGGGCAAGAGCCCTCTTGTTATCTATTTATTTCCTTTTATCCCCATTTCCCACTCCTGTTCTCTTCTCTGTAAATAACTACTCTAACATGCTTGATGTTCCATTCACCTGTATTCTTATAAAATTTGTACTGTTTTAAATGCATGTGTTTTAATTTTATAAATGGCACTGTGTTGTAATTCTCATTATGCTTCTTAATTTTTTAAAAACTAAGCATTGTGCTTTTAAGATCCAGTCATATGTACATTCAATCTTTCAGTTTTCTCCTCTGTAGAAGTGGGGTAATCATAGTACCTACTTTATAGTTACTATGAGGAATTAAATAAGCATAAGTGAAATGCTTAGCACAGTGCTTGTCATAAGGTGAGTGCCCGATAAATGCCTTCATCTTATTATTTATCATTAGAAAGACACATTCTATCAAAAGCCAAAGGCCAGCTCCTAGATGATGACTTCAAGACCTTGGCCATAATCATCTCATCTCATTTTATTTTATTATTATTATTTTTTAAAAATATATCTTTATTGATTTCAGAGAGAGGAAAGGAGAGGGAGAGAGAGAGATAGAAACATAAATGATGAGAGTCATTGATCAAGCCCACAACCGGGTATGTGCCCTGACCGGGAATCGAACCCCGATCGCCTGGACCCTAGGTCGACGCTCAACCCTGTCTCTTATACACATCTAGATGTGTATAAGAGACAGGNTGGGAATCGAACCCCGATCACCTGGATCCTAGGTCGACGCTCAACTGCTGAGCCACACCAGGCAGGGCATCATCTCATTTTAGATTCACACATCATGAAAGTCAATCTCCTCTCTTCTCCGCACTCATATTCCTATGATAAATCTGGGGTCCATTTATAGAAGAAAAGTTTTCTCTTGGTGAAAAGCCCAAAGAGATTCCAAAGTGGACGATATAAACTTTTTTCTTTTTACTTATTTACAGTAAAGGCCAAGTTCAACTCAAACATTAAGCCATGAATCAGCACTCCAGTGTGGTACCACATGAGTCTTGAGTGTATAAATAGGAGCGTGTTGCTTGTGGGCCAGTGAGGTAATCTCTATACTCGTCTCTGGTCAGGCCTTCATCAGAGATCTCTGTCGTGGGAATGGCCTTTCTGTGAGGGGCTTTTAGGCAAGGAAATATATGCAGGAGAAAAGTCCTGTGAGTTGCAGTTGGCTTTGAGCAAAGCCAGTGTCAGAGGACACTGAGAGGGTGCGGAGAGGTTTGACAACCAGTTTTGTTTTTGGAGGCTCAGGGGTGCAATAGGAAGCAGCTGTTTTTATTTCCACTGAGAACAAGACTAGAAGGAACATGTCTGAAGTTACATCAGCAGAAGAGATTTAATGCAGATGTCAGGAAGAACTTCCTGGCAGTGACCATCAGGATTATTATCTCTATAATTATAGATAAAAATGTTCGCTAAACATGACACATTTTTATAAGTACTTTCACAGGTTACTAGAGGAGGGTGTGTGATTGTCGCTTGCAAGGCTTCAAGATGAGACTGCAAATCGGCAGGAGTCTTAAATCTGCCCATTCCTTTTACCTGTTTATTTCATTTCTGTCTCTGCTTACCACCTGCCTGGAAACATTTTCAGAGAAGCCTGTGGTGGCTGCTGACCAGGGGGTGGGGAGCTGTTGTTAAAGAATTCTCTTTTCTGATTGGTGAGGAACCCCTGAGGGACGGGAAATGGAGTAGCCCCTGGAGTGGGCTCTATCCTTCCTTCATTACTACACCTCTCCCCATGAGGGGCCTGACACCTGCCCTTTGGTCAAGTGTCCATTCCCTACACATGTCTAATTTTGTCCTTAATCATGCAATGTCTTGCAGAGCTGGCCTGGGCAGGCACCTGGCCCAGGACTGGCCTTGGGGAGCTGCTGAGTTTAGGGGAAATCACGCTGTGGTCTCCTTGCTGTCCTTTAAAAATAATGTATCCATTCGAGGTGAGTTCACGTTGATGATGAGAGTGGCACTGAGAAGGACTGGTCACAAAAGGGCAGTCTGAACTGTGTGAGAAAGGGAGTGGCATTTTCCCTGTTGCTGTGGTCTGGTGGCGGATGAAGGAACCTCCAGTTCTTCTAGCCATCCTAGCTGGTGTGGGTCAGCCTGGGGCATTCCCTGAGCTCTGGATTGCAGGGCAGTGGAGGGCCTTCTGGGCTGTTCTAGCCGAGCCCAGCATGGTCTGGGGCTATGCTCGCCTTTCCAGGCCCGGAGATGCTCTGGACAGGCTGGGACTGAGGAGGGGGGCTGCTGGTGGGAGTGGAGAAGTGTACTTCCAGAGCTCTCTGCTCCCAGAAAAATGTGCTTGACTTTCACTCTTCAACCCTAGAAAATGTAGCCTCCCTCTTATAGTCTTTGTAAATGGCACTTATCCTATGTCACTGAACTCCAAGAGAGCAGACTATTAATATTGGCCCTCCCGAGGCAGGTGGCAGGCAGGCTAGAAATAATCCTGTTTTATATGGATGCCTGTCTAGGGGAAACAGCTACAAATTGAATGATAAGTATTTGATTTTGTGCATTTGCAATATGTGAAAATGTCAACTTTAATACAATTCTCCAATGATTTTGCAATGAGAACAAATCTGCTGTATTTCCAAACCAAACAGTGATATACCCAAACAGCTTTGAAACACTATCCATGCAGTTTCAAATATTAAGTATGATTATAATAAGAATCATGTTAATAAGCATGCCGTAATTTTTAAGGCAGTATTTAAATGGAAATATGTGCTTAAAAGAACAGATTTCAGAGTTTGGATTTTATTTTATTTATTTTGGGGGGAAGGACAACACTGGTTAAAATTATACAGGTTTCAGGTACACAATTCTACAGCACATCATCCATACACTGTATTAGGCTCACCACCCTAAGTCAAGTATCCATCCATCACCATTTTCCCTCCTTCATGCCAGCAATCACCTCCCTTCACCCATCTCCCCCTGGCAATTACCACACATCTGTGTCCATAAGTTATTTCTTTTTTTTCTTTTTGTTCAATCCCTCCACCTCCCAACCCCACGCCACCCCCGGACAGCTGTGAGCCTGCTTTTATCTATGAGTCTGTCTCTATTTTGCTTAGTTCATTTTGTTCATTTGATTCCACATATGAGTGAAATCATATGGTTCTTGTCTTTCTCTAATTGGTTCATTTCACTTAGCATAATGCTCTCCAGGTCCATCCATGCTGTCTCAAAGAGTAAGATTTTCTTTTATTACGACCGAGTAGTATTCCATTGTGTAAATGTACCATAGATTTTTTTATCCACTCATTTACTGATGAGCACTTGCGCTGCTTCCATATCTTGGCTATTGTAAATAATACTGCAATGAACATAGGGGTGCATATCAGAGTTTGAATTTTAGCACTGTCACTAAATTATATGACCCTAGGAAAGTTACTTTGGCTCTGTCCCTTTACTTCCTTAACAATACAGCAGGGACAGTAATACCTTCTTCAGTGTTGTTGTGATGACTAAATTGGAGTAAGAAGCATATGCCAGGGGCGCAATAAATGTCACCTTGTGTCATCCTTAAAGTTGTCTTAGAAAGAGCACATTTATTCTAATGTTAACGGTCATTTAAACCACTGGAGCATCTGTAGCATCTTTTAAATGGGGTCAGAATAAACATGTCCGAGTCTTGGTTAATTATGATGGCAGGGTGAAGCAATTCACTGCAGAGGGAAAATTTGAGAATGAATGGAAGGCTCTACCTTTATCTAAGAGGCTTTGTGGTAACTTGAAATGCTGGTAACCAACGGAGGCTGAGCCTCTTCCAGGAAACATCCTGACTACCCACAGCAGAGTGAATTAAACAACTGCTCAGCTTGCGGTGGTCTTGTGGCTTTTACTGAACCATAAAATTCGAGTCAGGATGGGCTCACCTGGCCCTCAGCCTTCAGGGAGTTTGCTCGAGGAGCTTCTACATGATCAGGACTAATCCGGAAACCCCCTAATGCCAAGAACCCCAGCAGTAAGCTTTAGAATTTCCATAAATTATAACATAATTATTTTTCTAACATGAAGTGTGTGACAACACAATA